ATTGAAATCCCAAGAGGCTATGTTTTGCTCATGTGATTTAAGGAGTAAAGGTAGATTATGATCAGAAAGGGGCAGCTACAAAGATTTCCTAGTATTCAGTCACTGTATTTTATTACCATACCATCCATACTCTTCCTATGTCTATTGAGAAGCCACCTATCTTGGTGTGTGCCCAGATATGCAAGGCAATAAGTTCAACTGATCCAGGACCCTCTAAAGAAAGTAGACAGGAATACATAGTGAAATACTGTTCTCACAGGAAACATTCTGACTGGGAAGCCACACAGAAGATTCCTATGCTGGATAAAGGGTTGAACTAGATGGTTTTCAAAGTACCTTCAAATCTAAGATTCTATGACTTACATAGTATTCAAGGACTTTTCTCTTGATTTACAATAACAATTCCCATCACTATGGATCTTGAAGGTTTACAGGTATTTTCTCTACAACAACTTGGAGGGGGGTATGGAACCAAGATGGAAGAGTAAGGACAGGAACTCACCTGAGTTTTTCCCCAAACTCCTCCAAATACCTTTAAAAATGACTCTAAACAAATTTTAGAGAAACAGAACCCACAAAAGGACAGAATGAAACAAATTTCCAGCCCAGAGCAACCTAGAAGGTCAACAGGAAAGGTCTGTTGCACCAGACTGAGAGAGGACCACAGCCCAGTGGAGGCCACACCAGCACAGACCAGGCCCCAGCAAACCAAGAGCAGGCCTCAGGGAACTGAATCACTGGCAGCAGTGGCAGTTTCCAGACTTCTTAGTCCACACATGCCAAAAACAACTGAGAAGGTCAGCAGGAAAGATCTGTTGGACCTGAGTGAGGGAGAAGCATAGCCCAGTGCAGGCCTCACGAGCACAATGCCAGCCCTAGCAAACCAGGAACAGGCCTTCGGAGCGATGGAGTCAGCAGAGTCATTTGACAGCAGCAGTGGTAGTGGCTGCTTCTGGAGCTCTCAGCTCACAGATAGTAAGAGGATCAAACAACTGGTCAGAAGGAGATTACAGGGGTCTCCTTGAGAGCACCAAGACAGGCCTCTGTTGCTTTGCCCATACTTGGGTCTGGATTGCAGTCCTAGGTGCCAGTCCAGGGGCAAAGAGGAGCACTAGCATAGCAGAGCTTATGGCAGCAGTGCAGAGGAAACCTTACTCACAGTTCCAGGGCAGAAAAGAGTGCTTGTGGTCACTCACAGACCAGAGCACAGGCCAGGAAAGGAGTAAACAGCACCTCACCCTTATCATACCACCGTGGAAGAACTGAAAACTTACAGGTCCCTAGAAGTATCTCTGAAAACAGGTACACAAAACCCCTGAAAGTTGGGACAGTTCACCCTTCACACTGGAAGCAAAGCCCTTAACTCTTGACAAAGAGTTAAAAAGTCAAATAATAGACTGGTAAAATGAACAAACAATGGCGAAAAGCTCAAACCTTAGAAATTTACTTTGGTGACAAGGAAGATCAAAACATACACTCAAAAGAAAACAACAAAGTCAAAGCTCCTACATCCGAAGCATCGAAGAAAAAAATATGAAGTGCTCTCCAGCCATGGAAGAGCTCAAAAAAAAAAAATTTGAAAATCGAGTAAGAAGAGTAGAGGAAAAATTGAGAAGAGAAATGAGAGTGATGCAAGAAAATCATGAAAAATGAGTCAACAGCTTGGTAAAGGAGACTCCAAAAAATACTGAAGAAAACAACACCTTAAAAAATAGACTAGACCAAATAGCAAAAGAGGTCCAAAAAGCTAATGAGAAGAATGCCTTAAAAAGCAGAATTAGCCAAATGGAAAAAGAGGTCTAAAAGCTCACTGAAGGAAACAACACCTTAAAAATTAGAATGGAGCAAAGGGAAGCTAATCACTCTATAAGAAATCAAGAAATTTTAAAACAAAACCAAAAGAATGAAAAAGTACAAGACAATGTGAAATATCTCATTGGAAAAAGAACTGACCTGGAAACAGATCCAGAAGAGACAATTTTAAAATTATTGGACTACCTGAAAGCCATGATCAGACAGAGAAAGAGAGAGAGAGAGAGAGAGACAGAGAGAGAGAGAGACAGAGAGAGACAGAGAGAGACAGAGAGAGAGAGAGACAGAGAGAGACAGAGAGAGAGAGAGAGAGAGAGAGAGAGAGAGAGAGAGCTTAGACATCATCTTTCAAGAAATTATCAAGGATAGACTTAGCTCTTCTCAGCAATGCGAGGATCTAAGACATCTCCGAAAGTGTCATGTTGGAAAATGCTATCCACACCCAGAGAAAGAACTATGGAGTTCGAATGTAGATCAAAGCATACTGTTTGGTCTTTTTTTTTCTTCTGTTTTATTTTGTTTCTGCTTTCTTGTTTCTTCTTCTTCTTTTGCCTTCTATTGTTTCTAATTCTTCTTTACAACATGACCAATGTGAAAATGTGTTTAATAGGAATGTATATGTAAAGCCTATATCAGATTGCATGCCATCTTGGGAAGGGAGGTGGGGAGGGAGAGGGAGAAAATTTAAAACTCAAAAGCTTGTGGAAGTGAATATTAAAAACTAAAAATAAATTAATAACAAAAAAGAAAGTATCAAGCAAAACTGCCCTAATGTTCTAGAACCAGAGAGTAAAATAGAAATTGAAAAAAATCCACCAATCACCTCCTGAAAGAGATCCCAAAAGGAAAAATCCCAGGAGTATTATAGCCAAATTCCAGAGTTCCCAGGTCAAGGAGAAAATATTGCAAGCAGCCAGAAAGAAACAATTCAAGTATTGTGGAACCACAATCAGACTAGCACGAGATTTAGCAGCTTCTACATTAAAGGAACAGAGGGCTTGGAATATGATATTCCAGATGTCAAAGGAGCTAGGATTAAAACCAAGAATCACCTACCCAGCAAAACTGAGTATAATCCATGAGGGGAAAACATTGATATTCAATGAAATAGAGGACTTCCATGCATTCTTGAGAAAAGACCAGAGCTGAATAGAAAATTTGACTTTCAAAGACTCAAGATAAGTATAAAAAGGTAAAAAGAAAAGAGAAATCATAAGAGATTTATTAAACTTCACATTCCTACATGGAAAGATGATATCTGCAATCCATAAGACCTTTCTTATTATTAGGGTAGCTAGAATGAGTATATATAGACAGAGGGGCACAGGTGTGAGTTGAATATGAAGAAATGATATCTAAAAAATAAAATTAAGGGATGAGAGAAGCATGTACTTGGAGAAAGAGAAAGGGAGAGGTAGAATGGAGTAAATTATCTCACATGAAAGAGGCAAGAAAAAGCTTTTACAGTGGAGGGGAAGAGGGGGGAGGTGAGAGGGAATGAGTGAACCTTACTCTCATCAGAATTGGCTTAAAGAGGGAATAACAAACACATTCAATTAGGTATAGAAATCTATCTTACCCTACAGGAAAGTAGGGGGGAAGGGGAAGAGAGCAGGGGAGATAATAGAAGGGAGGGCAGATTGGGGGAGGGGGTAATCAGAAGCAAACATTTTTGAGGAGAGACAGGGTGAAAGGAGAGAATAGAATAAATGGGGGGGTGGATATGATGGAGGAAAATATAGTCAGTCTTTTACAACATGGCCATTGTGGAAGTGTTTTGCATGACTACACATGTATAACCTATATTGAATTGCTTGCTTTCTCAACAAGGTGGGGTGGGGAGGGAAGAAAGGAGAGAATTTGGAACTCAAAATTTTTAAAATGAATGTTAAAAATTGGATTTTATATGTAACTGGGTAAAAAGTAAGATACCCAATAAAAAGTAAAAAAAAAACAACCTGGTGAGATAGGTGATACAATTATGATTATACCAACTTCACAGATGAGTAAACTGAGACTTTGAGACAACTTACATGAGTTGTCTGAGATGATAGTGGTAGTAAGTGTCAGAGCCAGTACATCAACCCAGGACTCCTAAGTTCAGAAGCTTCCTCCAATGACTATTACACACTGCCTCATGTCTTGACCAAATCATTTGGCAATTCATTATTCTACTTGTGTTTGGGTGTTCACAAGGACAAAATTTGAAGTTGTTCATTCAATATTCACCAGTGACACATGTTTTTTAAGTTACTTTTTGACACTGAAGGTGAGGATCTTACCATATCTGTTTTACTGTTTTAGTTTTACGTGCAGTTAAATAAATATGTGCGCATCATGAGAGTTTTCAAAATCAGAAAAAAAAATCAGATATCGAATTTAAATGCACACATTTCAAAGCTGATTAAGCTGCTTCTGTTCAGTTCCTTGGGTTGCACACATTGATTTCATCCCATAAGGACCTGCATTTTCATTCCATATGGAAAAATTCTGAACAAGTAACAACAGAGCTGACTAAATTGTAAGCTCCCTGAAGGCTCCCTAAGGTCAGGAACTGGGCTTTTGTTGTAAACTTTATGCAATAAATGGTTGCTGAGCTGAAATTGAATTGAGTTTGAGCCTTCCCAAGTGCCTAACACAATGCTCTATGCATTAAAGATGCTGAATTATTGGATGGAGCCCTTGGGGACAAAGTACCAGCATTTCTATCTTTAATTATGATACTTCCCCTCTACCTCCACTGTCGTCTTCCCCCCCCTAATTCTGGTAGAATTTCACTGGAGAACAGACAAAGATCCCAGGTCTTAGTTGTCCAGATAAGATGATTCAAACAAAGTCAGGTTTTACATGCTGCCTTTTTTTCTGATGATTGCTTCTGAATTATTTTTGCTTTTTTCCCTTTTCCCTCTTTAGTCCTTGATGGAAGAAATTCCATTAGCAGTCTCAAGTTATCACAAAGAGAATCCACTGTTAGCCAGTCCTTCTGCAGTGATTTAATTGAGGGAACAAAGTTATCCAGCATCCAGAGGAAGCCATTCAGACCTGCCTCCTTGATCCAAACCAGCAAAACCACCTTCCCTTGTCTAGTGGAAAATTCACAGATCACATCAGTCAACACCCACAAATGCCTGTGACTACAGCCCCATGGGCCATTTGCTTGAATTGCCACAAAAATCCATTATTCTTACCTTTCCAAAGCTTCCTTTGCCAATGGCCCGCAATATTTGAAAATGGTCAAAATTAACTGCAAGAGAAGATAGAAAAATGAAATTACACATCAGAATTACAGATCCAACTTCCTTATCTGCAGGGCTTAATAGCATTCACTCTTAATAGCACCTTATAACTGGCATTAAACTGAACAGCAAAGTAAGCTCATTCTAAAAAACGTCTGGTTTGCACTTAGTAATCTAAGGTACTTACCAGTCTATTACACTTTCTCTTCAATTCATATACTTGGTAATTTAACCCCAGAAGTACAAGTATTCAATTGCTTCTAACCATTTCTAAATAAAAATATTCATCCCAACTTTTCAGTTTCTAGAAAAATAATGAAAAATTTTTTATCTTTTTTATTTTTTATTATTCTAAACTTGACAAACACCAACATGAGCCTTTACATATAAAAAGAAGAGAAGAAAGAGGATAGTATATGAAAGCACAAATTCTTTCGATTTAGCTTTAATATGTAATAAACTTAATTGCTTCATTGATGCTATTTTTGACATTGTTATCATTAGAACGTTTTGCCCATCCCTCTTCAAATTCTCCTATTCATGTACAAAAAAATAATACTCATAGCAATAAAGATTGAATGAAATAAATCCCCATATTGGCCATGTCCAAAAATATACAACTCATCCTCCACTTTATCACCTCCATGTCAGGAAGTGAGAAGCACACATCATCACTGGTCCATTGGAGTCACTGTTTCAAACTGAATTTATCAGTGAGCAGCTAGGTGGCACAGTGAATAAAGCACTGGGTGGAGAATTAGGAAGACTCTTCTTCCTCATTTCAAATCTGGCCTCAGACACTTACTAGATGTGTGACCCTGAGCAAATCACTTAACCTTACTTATCTCAGTTCCTTCTCTGTGAAATGAATTGGAGTGAAAAAAAAAAAGACTAACCAGTCCAGTATCTTTGCCAAGAAAACCCCAAATGGAGGTCATGAAGAGTCGGAAATGACTGAATAATAACAACAGAAGCCACTTAAAGTTGCTTCTGGTTACAGTGTTGTGGTCATCGTATAAATCATCCTCCTGGTTCTACTCACTTTACTTTTCCTGAGTTCACACAAGCCTTTCCAGTCTGCAGGTTTCTCTAAAGCTGTCCCTTTCATCTTTTCTGGCAGCACATGGCTATTCCATTATTTTCAAATCCCTTAATTTGCTCAGCCATTTTCCAACTGGTGGATGCTCCCTTAGTTTCCAATCCTTGAGCAAAAACTTTCCATCAACATTCACTTCTTCAGTCAACAATTCATCACAATGATGAGCTCTGCACATGCTATTTGTTAAAGGTTATTTGAATCAATCTGTTTATTATAAAATCAAGAAAGTAGAGAACACTATTAGCTGGAGGGATTCTCTTCAAGACCTGAGCAGTAGCCTTGAAGGAAGGTAAGGTTTCTGAAAGGAGAAGAGAAAGAATATTATAGGCAAGGGTTTGGCCTGTATAGCTCTAACTACGGTGAAAACAGCTGGCACCTTGCTCCAGGTGCTAACACCCAGGTTGGCATCTAGGTGGTGCAGTGGATAGGGCACTGGGGTTAAAGTCAAGAAAACCTGAGTTCAAATCCAGCCTCAGACATTTACTAGCTGTGTGATCTTGGGCAAGTCACTTAAGCACTATCTGTCTCAGTTTCCTAATCTGGGAAATGAGGATAATAATAGTATTTATTTCACAGAGATATGAATATCAAATGAAATAAAATTTGCAAAGTGCAGAATCTGGCACATAGAAAGCATTTAATGTATGCTTGTTTCCCTTGCTTTCCCTGTAGCCCACAATCCTGTACCTCCCAGTCCACTGTCTGTGACCTTTTATAAAGGTTAAGAGAGGAAGGAAGAAGTCCCGAGAGACTGTAGGCGTGATATCATAAGCCGGTAGAGATCTAGGGAGGGAAAATGATGAACATCTCCCTCTTCTGCACCCATAGTTGGACTGCACTCTCTCACTCAACAGAATTTGTCTCAAATGCCAGAATGCCTAATTATAGATCTAATGCTTATGAGAAAACAGAGAGGCAGGACAGATCAGATCTGAGCTGGAGCATGATGTAGAGAAGCAACGGATGGAAATATGATTAGAAAGGTGGGTTTTAATGAGACTGTGAAAGGCTTTCAACAAGGAGTCTATATTTTGGCCTATAAGCCAAACATATTTTGAATTTTCAACACCAGCATATGTGGTGTTCAGGAGAAAGCAGCTTGAGAAAGGTGAGGACAAATAATACCCTAGATGGAGCCCATGTGTCCCTAAAGAGGGCACCCCCCATATTCCAGGGGAGTTACAACTGGGGAATGACAAAATATTTGCTTTGAAAAACCTGTCCCCTGCACTCCCTTGTTAAAGTCCTTGTCATGGAAAGGAATACAGTACTTGGGTTTTTTTTTTCCTTTTTAACCATTCATCACAGTGAGATACAAAATGGGCATTTGAGAAGCTGCCATCTGGAAAAGCAAGAGAGCAGCTTTACTCTTTATACTTCTGTTCAAGGGCTTAATTATAGGTTATTTTTAATTATAGGTTATACTTAAGTGCTGTTAGCAACAAAAATTGTGTGGATTTTATCTCTGGACTGCAATTACTTAAAACCTTTAATGACCCCACCATCATCCACAATATAAATTGATTTCCATTCAATACAATACACATGCATTAAAGATAGATGAGACATTTATTAGATAGATAAAATGTTTATTAAGCACTTACTATGTATCAGGAACTGTGCTAAGCACCAAATATACAAATATAAGCAAGCGAGACAGCACCTCCCCTCAAGAAGGTTACATTCTTATGGAGGAAGACAGCCCACAAAGGGAGCTAGAAATTGGGAAGAGAGGAAGAGAGTAAAGGAAAGGAGGTAGATGGAGAGGCAGAATCTAGAGAGTGTCTGTGCAGGAGTGAATTAAAGCATGGCTGAGGGCCTTCCTAGAATGTGATACCAGGGAGGGTGTCACCAATCAGGAGAGGAGGGGTTAAGGGAGGAGGCTTCTCCAGGCTGGCAAAGCAGAAAGGAAGAAGGAGGAGAATTCCACAGTCTGTGCAAGAAGCATGACTGGAATCCATTCTAAAATGGAGGTCCTGAGAAAGTAGCCACCCATAAGGAGAGGAGAGACTGCTATGTGCAAAGCACTGTAATAGGTACTTAAAAATATCAAGACAAATATGAAAACATTTCTTGCCCTCAAGGAGCTTACATTCTCCTGGTAGAAAAAGACCAAACTCCTCAGCCTGGCATTCAAATCTCCACCCTAGATATTCAACTTTTACTCTTGCCATGCTCCAATATGCATCCCTCCATTGCCTCCATGCCAGTCTCCTAAATGTCACTCACAGTATGATTATTTCTGCTCCAGGCCTTGCTCATAGATGAAGGCCTTACTTCCTCTTCCCTTATCTAAATCCTACCCATTCTCCAAAATCCAGCTCAAGTCCTCCCTTCTCCTTGAAGCCTCCCATGACTTCTCTCTCTAATCTAGCCTATATTGAACTAATTTTTCTCTGACTTTATAGCATTGAGATTGTACTACCCATTGGGATACGTAATCATATCCTTCACTGATAGGTTGTTTAAGTATTTCAGGTGCCAGTTTTATCTCCTTCTCAACTGGATTATAATGTAATCTCTGTAAATGTGATTGTCCTTCTATCTCTCCCAAAATCCAAAACCCCTCCTTTGATTTTATGAGTCTCACCTTTCTTGCTGCTGTTATTTTACAGACTATTCTTCCTTTTGCCTATTACCCCCAAGTTGCTTTCTTAGAACATACTACATCTATAATCTTCCATCCTGGAAGCTTCCAGCTTTGTTAATTAGTGTATCCCTTAGAGACCCTTGTCCTCTCGTGCCCTCTCCCATTTCCCTGTGCATCTCTGTCGCGTGGGATAACCTAAGGCTTCCCAAACTAAACAGAAGAAAGAAACAAAATCCTGGCACAAACTGGATGATAGGTCAGGAGGGTGCTTTTTACTGGATAATTTATTCCCTCACTCCTTCTGACATCACCTAAGATCATCTCATTTGAGGTCTGGATACCTTGGATTCTGTCTCTTTTGAAGGTCTAATATCTCTTTCATATCTGCTTATAAGATAAATATATCTCACTCCCTCTACCCTTGTACATACCCTTGAGCCCTCGGGTATCTCAAGCCAGGCTGCAAGCCTTTCTTGATGTCAGTCAATAGTCAAAAAAATGTTATTAAGCACCTACTATGTGACGGGCACTAAGCTAAGCACTAAAAATATAAATACAAGAAAAAAGAGCATCAGGTAATTAGGTTGACAGTTGTAGATGGGATGTATAATTTCTATAATATTAAATGCCTTCTTTCTTGTATTGTTCTATGCAGATTACAAAATGAAGTATTCTTGTCCAGATCCATAGTAATGCCAATGCAGCAAAAAGATGAGAAGGCATGGTTAGCATGGAATTACCATATGTTCTCTTCAGCTGAGAAACGGTGTAAAACAAAGAATGATTTTGCTGATACTTTGCATTACTCCTTCCAAGTTGTTTTGCTTGGCCTAGTCAGTGCCAACATCCTTTCCAGTGCCATCCAACTCTCAATTCCCATGAGTAAACTAGAACTTTCATTATTAGGTGGAGAGGGTGGGGAGTGGACCCTACCTCCCACCTCCCCAGCTTTAGTAGGATCCAGGTCCAGGCCCAGCTCTAGTACCTGGAAGCCTATGATTGGATGCCTTCTACCTCTTACCCTCCAGAGTCTATTTCAGGATAGGGAGTATAAAGCCACCTCCTGGGGGCAGCTAGGTGGCACAGTGAATAGAGCACCAGCCCTTAGTCAGGAGTACCTGAGTTCAAATGTGGTCTCAGACCAAACACTAGACACTTACTAGCTGTGTGACCCTGGGCAAGTCACTTAACCCCAACTGCCTTAAAAAAAGAAAAAAAAGCCACCTCCTAACTTGGCCCCCACAGGTCTACTTATTCCTGCATGTTGAGATGAAAACTTTAGAGGGACCTCAGACAGTCTAATCATGTGCATTCTTCAA